CAAATATTATATATTAATGATTGTGGCAAAAAAAAAAAACAAAAACAAAAGCAAAAACAAAAGTAAAAATTTACTAAAAGTAATTAATTAAATAATCAAATTATTAATTAATCGTATTGGAATTACTAATTAATCATTTTTAACATTGAAAAAATTGTTGCTAAATGTAAAATTGTAAAATGATTCGACAAAAAAAAAAAAAAACGAATATTTGCAAGTTGCATTCTTTTCAAAATTAATAAAATGTTGTTGATGTGATGGAAGAAAATTGAGGAAGCAAAGTAGAAACGAAACTTTTAAAAAAAAATATTATTGAAAGAAATTTTTTTGTAAAAAAAAAAAAAGAGAATTCAAAGTGTAAACAACATTTTCAGTAAATGATCAATAAAAAAAAAAATTGATTTCTTAATAAAATTTATGAAAAACAAACAAACAAAAACAAACAAAAATGTAAAATGGTAATGAGAAATCTCTCTCTCTCTCTGTCTCTCTCTCTCTCTCTCTCTCCTTTCTTCCCTTTCAATAAGAAAAATCTAAGATTATTGATTAGCTTTTATTAAAAGATGACATATTGGCATTGATCAGAGAACTGATAATGATAAATTAACCGGTTGCTTTTTAATGATTGCAAAGAACAGATAAGAAAGATCAAAGATCATCTGTACCCTTCTATTCCACTTAAAATTGGCTTTTAACTTTTCATAACAAAAAGAAAAAATGTTATTATGAATGAATTAATTCGTTTTGCTTATTTTGCTTCCTTTTTTTTTAAAATTGTAAATAATGTTCATAATTAGTGTTTGTCATATAATAGATAATATAATATAAATGAAATTTTATGTAAAAAATTTCATAAATCAAAACATATTTGAATATATGAAATAAATAGATTTAACCTAAAATATAAATATGAAATAAACAGATTTAACCTAAAATATAAATATGAAATCGATCAATCAACAACAATAATACATTTTATTCTAAAAATAATTTATATTCAATAATAATATTAATAGTAATAGTAATGGTAATAATAATAATAATAATAATAATAATAACAATAATAATAATAATAACGATAATAATAACAATAACAACAACAATAATAATAATAATAACAATAACAATAATAATATATAATAATAATAATAATAATAACAATAATAATACTAACAATAATAACAATAATAATCAGATGTTTATATTATCTTCTTTTTTTTTTTTTTCACATATACTAAAAATAATTTAGTTAAGAAAGCTTAAATAAGTCAAAAAGGTGTCGCAGTTTAGTGTCACATTGAGCACAACAACCTGCTCGCCGTATTGCATTTATTCAGCGACTGTATCAAATGATTATTGCAATGACATTGAAATCCTGTTTCATTTAACGCTAAAAATAACGATAAAAATTTTTAACGAACTATTAATATACCTGGCGCAACTGTCACATCATCATTTATCAACACTTATGCACTCATCTACCAATCAATTCATCTACCCATCCATTCATTTACCCATCTATCTATTTACTCATCTAATTCATCTACTTATCTACTAATAACGATAAAAATTTTTAAACTATTAATATACCTGGCGCAACTGTCACATCATCATTTATCAACACTTATGCACTCATCTACCAATCAATTCATCTACCCATCCATTCATTTACCCATCTATCTATTTACTCATCTAATTCATCTACTTATCTACTAATAACGATAAAAATTTTTAACGAACTATTAATATACCTGGCGCAACTGTCACATCATCATTTATCAACACTTATGCACTCATCTACCAATCAATTCATCTACCCATCCATTCATTTACCCATCTATCTATTTACTCATCTAATTCATCTACTTATCTACTAATAACGATAAAAATTTTAACGAACTATTAATATACCTGGCGCAACTGTCACATCATCATTTATCAACACTTATGCACTCATCTACCAATCAATATTCATCTACCCATCCATTCATTTACCCATCTATCTATTTACTCATCTAATTCATCTACTTATCTACTAATAACGATAAAAATTTTAACGAACTATTAATATACCTGGCGCAACTGTCACATCATCATTTATCAACACTTATGCACTCATCTACCAATCAATTTATCTACCCATCCATTTTTTTACCCATCTATTCATCTACTTATCTACCCATTAATCCATTTACCTATCATTTCCCACTTATTACTTTCTTTTTTTTATCATTTGTTACCAACATAGTCGATTTTTTACTTTTATTATTAAATATGACATTATAAAAATTGAAACAATTAGTTAACAATATTATTGCTACTACGAAAAAATAATATGAATACATTTTCAAAAAGTAAAATAACAATTGAAAAAATGAAAAAATAAATTCATAAAAATAAATTTTTATTAAACTTAAAATAGTATAAGTTATGAATTGAAAAAAAGAATTCATACTGCACAGCAAATTTACAAAAATTAATCTTAGAAAATGAATTGAATAGAAGGAGAAAAATAAAATGGAATAAAATATTTATTTGTTTGCAAAAAATAAAAAGTAAATTAATAGTTGAAAGAATTATTAAAGAATAGAAACGAAGAAAGAATGAATGCATATATAATAAATATAGCATTTTTTAAAAAAAAAAAAAAAAGATTTGAGATTTTTAGAAAGATTTAACTCTTTCTAACTTTTAATTTTATTTCATACAATTAAATGTTATAAAATGAGTTACAAATTATTATTTTTAGTTGCTCATTTATATCTGATATTCAATCATTTTTCTTCTTTTTTTTTTTTGCAACTTTTATGCAATGTAATTTATTAATCTTAAAAAATATAAAAAGAAAAAAAAATAAAAATCTAAAAAAAATGTTTGCTTAAGAATATAATAATAATATATTTAATAAAATATATAATAATTGTGTGTTTTAACGCAACTATTAGCTTTATAAATTAATAAATTACGAATAATAATTAAATATGTGTGCATTTACATATGTAATAATTAAGTATATATGGTTAATTATACATAATTATTATCTATCTATTTAATATATATCTAATAATTAAGTATATATGTTAAGTATATAAGTTCATATATAATAATTGTGTGTTTTAACGCAACTATTAGCTTTATAAATTAATAAATTACGAATAATAATTAAGTATGTGTGCATTTACATATGTAATAATTAAGTATATATGGTTAATTATACATAATTATTATCTATCTATTTAATATATATCTAATAATTAAGTATATATGTTAAGTATATAAGTTCATATATAATAATTAAGTATATATGTTAAGTATATAAGTTCATATATAATAATTATGTGTTTTAACGCAACTATTAGCTTTATAAATTAATAAATTACGAATAATAATTAAGTACGTGTGCGTTTACATATGTAATAATTAAGTATATATAGTTAATTATATATAATTATTATGTATATATTTAATATATATCTAATAATTAAGTATATATGTTAAGTATATAAGTTCATATATAATAATTAAGTATATATAGTTAGGCATATATAAGTATACATATTAAGTTCATATATAATAAATATATATATACATATGTTAAGTGTATATAATTAAGCATACATATTAAATACATATACAATTATTAAGTATACAAGCACATATATAATAATTAGGTATATAAGTACTTATATAGTAATTAAGTATATATAGTTAAGTATATATAACAAGGTATACATATTAAATACATGTATAATTATTAAGTATATATATATAATTAAGTATATCTATTTAGTATATATATATATAATAATTAAATATATATACTGAACTATATATAATTAAGTATATACAAATAAATATACATATTAAGTACATATGTCCTAATTAAGCATATAAATGCATATATAATAATTAAGTTTATATAGTTAGGCATGTATAAAGTATACATATTAAGTAAATATATAATAGTTAAGTATTTATATTAAGTATATAAGTACATATATAATAATTAATAATCAGGAATATATGCATGTATGTATTCAATTGTATGTTTTTCTTACATTTTCACACTGCAATAAATGCTTATGATAAGCATTAATTTTTGATAAGAATTAAAAATTTTCATTACAACAACAAAATTTTTCAAAAAATATTAAAAGACAAAAACAAAAAAAAAAAAAAAAAGAAAAAGAAATAAACCAGTTTTGACTATTTGTGGTGACAAAGTTGATGACATTTACTTTAACGTAAATAACATTTTGTCATTTTATCAAATAATATAGAATGAAACTTTGGGTAATGATAACAATTTTTTATTTTTTACTTTTATAATATTATTATCATTTATTATTATTATTATGTTATTGTTATTGTTATTGTTAATAATTATTGCTATTATTTACTGTCATTATTGTTTATTATTAGTGTTATTATTATTGTTATTATTATTATTATGACGAACCACTATTATTCTTTATTGCTATTATTTACTATCTTTATTATTTTATTATTTTTATTTAAAAAAATAATTCGAAAAAATTGCACTAACTAAAATCATAACATTGTTATAACTATTAAAAGATGAAATTTTCAAAATAATAATAATGATAATAACATTATTATCAAAATTAATAAATTGTAAATTATTCATCCAAATAATGATAAGAAGTAATAGTATTATCAGAATATGATAATGTTAATTGAATTTTTATCTATCTTTTTCAAAATTTACAATTCATTCTTGCTTGTTTTTTTTGTTTATCATTTATGTTTATCATTTTTTTGATAAAAAAAAAAACGAAATCTTTTCAAATTAATAAAATTTATTCATTAATTTTTTTTTTCAGTTAATTAATATCACCTAATGCATATTTACTACTGATTGCAAATTTTTTGCAATTAATGATAATGATAAACTGATTGATAATTAATTATTAAAATTACAAATATATGCAAAAAACAGGTAACAATGTTAAATGGAAATTAAAAAATTTTTTAAAAGAATGGTATGGTTTATAATGGAATTTCAATGGCATGATTTGAATACACCATTATCAATATGCATATGGCTTTTATCAATTATTTTAATTAAAATATGTTCGTTTCATTTCTTTTTTTTTTTTAAATTTTTATTGATAACAAAAGAATGTTAATTCAATATATAATTTTTTTTTTAATTTTAAAATAATACTAAAATTTTAAAAATTTCTTTAGTATCACATTCAAGTAAACAAGTTACTATTTTCTTTTTTTTTTTCTTTAAATTTTTATTAATAATAAAAAGAAAAAATGTTAATTTAATAATTTTTTTTTAAACTTAAAATAATAATAAAAATTTTTAAAAATTTATTTAATTTAATTTAAATTTTTTTTCATTAGTATCACATTCGTTACTATTTTCTTTTTTTCCTTTAAATTTTTATTAGTAACAAAAAAAAAGGTATTAATTTAATAATTTTTTTTTGTAAACTTAAAATAATAATAAAAATTTTAAAAATTTAAAAATTTCTTTAATTTAATTTAATTTTTTTCATTAGTATCACATTCAAGTAAACGACTTACTATTGTACCTGATTCTGCACTATTAATTCTTGTTGGTTTTGCTGCTGGTAGTATAATGGATCGTTTTTGGCCACATGAAATTTATTTACATCCAGGTAAGCATCTTTTTTTTTTTTTAAATTGAAATTAAAAAAAAAATTACTTAAAAATAAATATGACAAAATTATTTAGTAATTTAATAAAAATACAAAATTCATTTAATTGAATAATATTTAATAAAATAAGTGATAATAATTTGAGAGAGAAAAAAACAAAGTAAAATTTACAAAAAAAAAAAATATAAGTATATTTAATTAGATAAATTGAAATTTAAAAAAAAATTACTTAAAAATAAATATGACAAAATTATTTAGTAATTTAATAAAAATACAAAATTCATTTAATTGGATAATATTTAATAAAATAAGTGATAATAATTTGAGAGAGAAAAAAACAAAGTAAAATTTACAAGTATATTTAATTGGATAATAATTAATAAAATAATTTTTAATAATTTTAAAAAAAAAGTTAAAATTTACAGATTTTTTTTTCCTCTATTTATTACCACCAATAGCATTGGATGCTGGTTATGCATTACCTAATCAAGCATTTTTTGAAAATTTTGGTACAATTATTTTATATGCTGTAGTTGGAACAATTTGGAATATTTTTTCTGTCGGTATCTTTTCATCTCTGTTCTTTTTTTTTTGAATTTTATTAAAATTTCATTTTTTTTTTAACAAATCATTGTTATACAATCATAATATATTAAATTAATATTTAAATTTGTTTGTTTGTTTTATTTTTTATAGCACTATAAACTATTCTAATTGTAATTTAAATTTAAATATTATAAAAATTTTTTTTCTGTCGGTATCTTTTCATCTCTGCTTTCTTTTCGAATTTTATTAAAATTTCATTTTTTTTTAACAAATCATTGTTATACAATCATAATATATTAATTTAATATTTAAATTTGTTTTTTTGTTTTATTTTTTATAGCACTATGAACTATTCTAATTGTAATTTAAATTTAAATATCATAATAATTTGATTGGAAAAAATCCAGCTATTTAATTTGAATAATTAATTAAAAGATTAAGTTTTTTTCTTTTTTGTTTAGGAAAATAATAAATTTATAAATTTTGAAAAAGGAAAAAAATTTACAATTGAAATTATTAAAAAAAAAAGAGAGAGAAAGAAAAATTTTTATTTTTGTAATTTTTTATTTCAATTAATATTGCGTTAATTTCCTTTTTTTTTCTTTTGAAATTATTTAATTACATTTTATCAAATTTTTAATATATTATTTATATACAAAATTATAAATTAAAATATTAAATGAATGTTAATTTTAGGTTTTTTTTTTCTTTTGAAATTATTTTAATTTGATTTTATTAAGTTTTAAATACATCATTTATATAAAAATTACAAATTAAATTATTAAATGAATTTTTTTTTTAATTTTAGGTTTTTTTTTCTATTTATGACTAATGGTAATAAATGAAATGTTTGCATTATTTTCTTTTTCTTTTTTTTTTTTGGAATTATTTTAATTACATTTTATCAAATTTTTAATATATTATTATTTTAAATTAAATTATTAAATTAATGTTAATTTTAGATTTTTTTTTCTCTTGAAATTATTTTAATTACAGTTTATCACATTTTTAATATATTATTTATATACAAATTATAATTAATATTAAATTAATGTTAATTATAAATTATTTTAATTACAGTTTATCACATTTTTAATATATTATTATTATAAATTAAATTATTAAATGAATTTTTTTTTTTTTAATTTTAATTTTAGGTTTTTTTCTCTTTATGGCATCACCATTTTTTTCTGTCACATTACCATGGCTTGATTTATTCCTCTTTTCAACATTCATTTCGGCGGTAGATCCGGTTGCTGTTTTAAGTGTTTTTGAAGAAATTAAAGTTAACCGATTACTGTACATTTGTGTTTTTGGTGAATCATTACTGAATGATGCTGTAACAATTGTAAGTTTATTATGATTTTATTGATATAAAAAAATTATTCATATAAAATAATTTTAATAATTAATCATTTAATTTAAGTATTAAAATTATAAATTGAAATTTCAAAAATGAAAAATGAAAAGAATCTAATTAACTTATTGTTTTTTTTTTTTTTTTTAATTAATATATAAAAAATCCACAGTAAACATTACAAAAGAAAAAAATTTTGCATAAAATAATTTTAATAGCTAATAATTTAATTTAAGTATTAAAATTATAAATCAAAATTTCAAAAAAATAAATGAAAAATGAATAATGCAAAGAATCTAATTAACTTATTGTTCTTCTTTTTAATTAATATATGTATATAAAAAAAATTTCACATTAATATAAATCATTTCCGTTCTTTTTTTATTTTTCAAATGTTCAAAAATTTAATTTCAATACTTTAAAAAAAAGTTATTTGAAAAAAAAAGTGAGCAAAAGAAAAGCAAAAAAAAAAATTAGTTTAATGTTTTAAAAAGTTATTTTTTTTCTAAAAGTCAAAGATTTCAATTTCAATTTTATCGTTTTTTTTTTGTTTTTGTTTTTTTGTTTTAATTTTTATTTTTATTTATAAATATGAAATATTATGCTAATTATGCTTAAAGGTAATGTATCATGCATTAGCTGCAATGGTTAAAATTGGACCAGAAAATTTGGAAATGGAAGATTTTATCAAAGCACTTATATCATTCTTTCTTGTCAGTTTTGGTGGAATACTGATTGGAATTGTTGGTGCTGCACTTACTGGCTTAGCTACTAAGTAATCATTCATTAAAAAAATAAATAAATAAACAAATAAACAACACAACATAAAATTTTTGTTGATGTATCTATTGTTTAGCTACTAAGTAATCATTCATTAAAAATAAATAAACAAATAAACAGCACAACATAAAATAAGATAAATAAAAATTTGTTTTTTGTTGATGTACCTATTGTTTAGCTACTACGTAATCATTTATTAAAAAAAAATAAACAAATAAACAACATAAAATAAGATAAATAAAAATTTGTTCTTTGTTAATGTACTTATTGTTTAGCTACTAAGTAATTATTCATTAAAAATAAATAAGTAAACAAATAAATAACACAACATAAAATTTGTTTTTTGTTGATGCACCTATTGTTTAGCTACTACGTAATTATTTATTAAAAATAAATAAATAAATAAACAACATAAAATAAGATAAATAAAAATTTGTTTTTTGTTGATGTATCTATTGTTTAGCTACTACGTAATCATTTATTAAAAATAAATAAATAAATAATTGGATAAACAACATGACATAAAATAAAATAAATAAAAATTTATTTTTTGCTTCTGTTTTAAATTTTCTTTCAATTATATCTATTAATTAATTCGTATTAAAATTTGCAAATTCAGTGAAATAAAATAAAAAAAAAAAATGTGGAAATTATTTGTTTACTTTTATTATTTATTTTTGTTTACTATAGAATTTATTGATTTTAGTTATTTATTTATTCGCTCTTTTTTTTTTTTAAAGTAATAAATTGCAACACAAATCTTTTAGATGAAATATATAAGTAAGTGTAACTGTTATGATAAAATTAAATAATTTGAATTATTATTTAAGCATTTTAATTTTATTAAGTAAATGTAATCGAGTTTAATAAATATTTTATTCTAATCAATTTAATAATTTTTAAACATAATGAATATTTAAATTGTAAACAAATGTTTTGCCAATTCCTTTTTGTTTTTTGTTTTTTGTTTTTCATTGATTGTTTTAAAATTAATTTTTTGAAAATTTAGATATTCAAATAAACAACAAGTATTAGAATATTTAATTGTAAACAAATGTTTTGCCAATTCCTTTTTGTTTTTTGTTTCTTTTTTTTTTCATTGATCGTTTTAAAATTAATTTTGAAAATTTAGATATTCAAATAAACAACAAGTATTACAACCATTGATCTGTTTACTTATACCATATCTTTCATATTTGATAGCAGAAAGTGTTCATTTTTCTGGTATTCTTGCGTAAGTCATCCATTTCCTTTTTTTTTTTTTAAAATTTAAAATTTAAATTGAAAAAATTAAAAAGATTTTATCAAATTTATATTGATTAGAGAAAATTTATAAGATAAATGTATATTTCTTTTTGAAAAAAATTTCATTAATACTATTTGTTTGATACTATTTAAAGAAATATATGCGACATTTTTGATTTTTTATCAAAGATAATGTAAAATTTTTTTTTTTTCATACTAAATGAACAGTTTTTATTTTGATAACAATCTTTTATTTTCATTATTTAATCAATTTATTATCTTATCAGTATCTTTTTTTTTTAATCTTTTCATTTGATCATTTCAATTTTTTGAAATAATTAGTCGAAAATAAAAATTTGTAAAATTTCTTATCAAATGATACTTCATATTAGATATATCATTTTAAATACAGTTTATTATAATAAATTATGTAAAATAAAAATGATTGGTAAAATATTTTTAAAAAATTTTTATCTCAAAATTTTAAATTTTATATTAAAAAAAAATTATTTGACAATTTCTATTTGTATTTTTGTTTTTTTATTATTTTTTTAGTATTGTTCTTTGTGGTTTAATGATGAAACAATACCTTGCTGGTAATTTATCAAAAGAATCATTGGTCACTACAAGTTATTTTTTAAAAACACTTTCAACAAGGTTTTTTAACTTTTTTTTTTTTTTTGAAATACTGAAAATAAAAGAGAAATAATTAAAATATGATTTTATTTTTTAAATTTTATTACAATTATTATTTATGATCAATAATAAAGTTTATTAAAGCTACATTAGGTGGCAAAAAAAAAACACAGAAAAATAATAATTAACTTTGTAATTTCAAATATTAGTATATAACTACTGGTATATTTAGTACAATATATCATTGAAAAATAATAACTATTCTTCTAAATAAGTAAATTTAAAAAAAAAAATTGTAATTTTTAAAAAAAAAATAATTTTTTAATTTAAATAACTTTCTAATATTGGTATGAATTTAGCTGTGAAGCGATAATATTTGTTTTCTTGGGATTGTCAACTGTATCAAAAAGACATGATTGGAATTCAGTTTTTATTGGAACAACATTACTTGCATGTTTAGTTTGTAGATTTACTGGTATGTTAATTTTGAACGAAATAAACAAACGTAAAGAAATAAACAAGCACAAACAAACAAACATGAACAAATGAACAAACATAAACAAATGAACAAACACAAACAATTAAACAAACATAAGCAAATAAACAAACACAAACAATTAAACAAACATAAGCAAATAAACAAACACAAACAATTAAACAAACATAGGCAAATAAACAAACACAAACAAATAAACAAACACAAACAAGTAAACAAACATAAACAAATGAACAAACATAAACAATTAAACAAACATAAACAAATAAACAAACACAAAAAAATAAACAAACAAACATAAACAAATTATCGTTTCGAAAAAATAAATAATTATTATAAAATGAAATGAATTAATATTTGTTACTTTTTTTTTTTTTGAAATTATAAATAAATGAAATTATAGGAACATATTTTCTGACATGTTTGGCAAATAGAGGAAGACGTCAAAAAATAAATTTTGTTGATCAATTTATTATGGCATACGGTGGTTTACGTGGCGCTATTTGTTATGGCCTAGTGATGACATTAGATAAGGATGCTGTATTGGCCAAGGAAATGTTTGCATCAACTACAATTATTGTTATTTTAACTACTGTTTTCTTGCAGGTAAACATTTAATTAAATTTAATTTTAATTATTAAATTATTTTATAATAATTTCATGTTTAAAATTAGCTATATAGCTTTTGGCATCATCTAATTGAAATCACTAATAATACTATTTTATAATTTTTTTTTTGTTTAAATAGCATTAAAATAATTCAAATTATAAATAATTGATAAATTAATTATTTTAATTTCAAAGAAAAAAAATTAATGAATTAAAAAATTAGAATATATGCTATATAAAAATATAAAAACAAGTAGAATATATATTATTTTAACTACCGTTTTCTTACAGGTAAACATTTAATTAAATTTAATTATTTTATAATAATTTCATGTTTAAAATTAGCTATATAGCTTTTGGCATCATCTGATTGAAATAATTATTAACACCATTTTAAAAATTTTTTTTTTGTTTGTTTAATTGACATTAAAAAAAATTCAAATTACAAATTATTGAAAATTAATTATTTTTAATTTCAAAAAGAAATAAATTAATTAAAATTGGAATATATTATATAAAAAAATATATATAAAAAATAAATATAAGTTATTTTAACTAGTTTTTAAAGATAAAATTAATTAAATTTAATTTTAATTATTAAATTTAATTATTTTAAATAATTTGATGTTGAAATTGAGCCAGATAATCAGGAAACATTAGTGAAATAATTAATAATACTATTTTATATTTTTTTTTTTTTAATTTATTAATTAATTATAAATAATTGAAAAATTTTTTTTAATAAATAAAATTAATTTAAAAAAAAATATAAAAACAATAAAATATATATTATTTTAATATTTTTTTTAAATATTTAATTAAATTTAATTTTAATTATTAAAATTTTAAATATTTCATGTTTAAAATTTATTTTACATATTAATTAAAATATTAATAATACTATTTTGTAAATTTTTTTTTTTGTTTGTTTAATTGATATTAAAAAAATCAAATTATAAATAATTGATAAATTAATTATTTTAATTTCAAAAGAAATAAATTAATTAAAAAATTGGCATATATGCTATATAAAAAAATATATATAAAAAATAGAATATAAGTTATTTTAACAGCCGTTTTCTTACAGGTAAACATTTAATTAAATTTAATTTTAATTATTAAATTTAATTATTTTATAATAATGGTATGTTCAAAATTAGCTATATAGCTTTTGGCATCATCTAATTGAAATAATTATTAACACCAATTTAAAAAAATTTTTTTTTTGTTTAATTGACATTAAAAAAAATTCAAATTTAAAATAATTGAAAAATTTTTAAATTATCATTTTCATTTTTAATTTCAAGGAAAAAAAAAATTAATTAATTAATTATTGATAAAAATATACGAATATTTGCTAGAACTTAAAGATGAAATTAATATTTTAAATTTTATGGTGCAACAATTAAACCATTAGTGAAATTACTTGATGTTGAAATTGAGCCAGATAATCAGGAAACATTAGTAGAGCAAATTATCAGTGATGTAAGTTTTATTAATCTTTTTTTTTTGTTTATTAATTTTAATTTATGAAATCTTTTTTTTAATAAATAACAATAAAATTTATTATTTATGAAATATTTTTTTTAAATAATTCAAAAAAGTTAAAATGAAAAAAATGAAATATTTCACATTGAAATTTTTTTTATTTGCATTATTTAGCATATTATAATAATTTTGTTTTCTTTTTTAAGCGATATAGTCAAGGTATATTAAAATACCTGAAATTTCTTGTAAATAATAGCTAAAAAAAAAAAAAAAAATTAAAAATAAAAATAAAAATAAAGGATTTCAAGTTCGTGATGATATTATGGAAGGTATAGAAGCTGTAGTTGGTATTCAATGATCACAATGTAAATATAAATTTAAAATTTTAAATTTTTGGAAAAAATTAAAAATTAAAATTTGAAAATTGTGAATAAAAAAATTATTTTTTTTGATAAATTAACTGTGAAAATATTTGTTTATAACTTTTAAATGATCATTTTTTTTTCAAATTTTAACAATTTCATTTTTAATTAATTTTTTTTAAAAAAAAATTTTAAAAAATTTATTTACAATTTATTATTTTAATAATAAAGAAAATATAAATTAACAGTGAAAAGATTTGTTTATAACTTTTAAGTGATCACTTTTTTTTTTCAAGTTTTAACAATTTCATTTATTTTAAATTTTATAAAGTTTTGCTTTTTAGTTTCGGCATAAATTATCACATTTTAATAATGATTATATTTCATCTGTATTTCATTAATCAAGAACTCGTTGATAATTTTAAATTCTATGAAAAATAAAAGTGATAGTCGGCTATCAATTCTGTAATTCTTAAGATAAATTGAAAAGTGATAATGATCAATTGTGATGTAAAAATTTAAATTTATTTAATTTTAATATTGTATATATTTGAAATTTGTGAAATTCTTAAAAATTTTTTAACGATAATTTGCAGTGTAAATATAATTTGCTCAGTTACTGTATACATTTAAATTGAAAAATTTAAATTTATTAAATTTGTATTTTTAAAAAAAAAAAAAGTTGTAATTAAATTTATGAAATCATATAAATATAATAATGAAAAAAAATTAAACAACAAAATTTAAATTAAAAAAATATTTAATTTATTTGTTAAAAAAATTTATGATTTGGATAATTCTAACTTTTAATTTTAAGTAACTTTAAGTTTCACATTTTTTACTTTCATCGAATTCATTAATAATTCTATTTGTTGATAATTGGTAAAAAAAAAGAAGTGTTGTAACATAATGAAATCAATTTAAAATTAATGAAAAAAATTTAAATTGTTTACTATAAAAAAAAATTTTTAATTAAAAAAAATAATTGTTAAAAGAAACAGCCATCTTTTTCTTTTCGTTTTGCTTTCTTTGATCATAAATGATAGTTGACTGATATAGATAAATTGATAAATTAAAATTGAATCACAAAGGAAAAAAAAATTTTGAATCATTCCTCAGATTTTGTTACCAATTTTGAATTTTTCTAGAATTTAAATTTATTTCTCCTTTTTTTTTAAATTACAAAAAGTTGACTAAATAATTTCTATTTCTTTGATCATAAATGATAGTTGACTGATATAGATAAATTGATAAATTAAAATTGAATCACAAAGGAAAAAAAAAATTTGAATCATTCCTCAGATTTATTACCATTTTTGAATTTTTCTAGAATTTAAATTTATTTCTCCTTTTTTTTTTTAAATTACAAAAAGTTGACTAAATAATTTCTATTTCTTTGATCATAAATGATAGTTGACTGATATAGATAAATTGATAAATTAAAATTGAATCACAAAGGAAAAAAAAAATTTGAATCATTCCTCAGATTTATTACCAATTTTGAATTTTTCTAGAATTTAAATTTATTTTCCTTTTTTTTTTTTAAATTACAAAAAGTTGACTAAATATTTTCTATTTGTTATTTGTTACATTTATGGTAATCCAGCAATTGCTTCTTCAGGTAATTCCGTTTGACTTACACGAAAAAAACCTGAAAAAAAAAAAATGGAATTAAAATTCAGAAAAAAAAAAATTAACATTATTATAATCATTTAAAAGATACTAACATTTTTTAGTATTTATAATAATAATATTTCTAAAAGTTAATTACTAATATTTTTTACTGCTATTATAAATGATTCTAATAAAGTTAATTTTTTTTTTTTTAAAGTTAAAAAAAAAAAATTTGCATAAATTGAACACATACCATAATCACCCCAATTTCGTCCCCATGTATTCATATAAAGCCAATATTTCAATGTACCCTCTTTTCCCCAACCTAATAATTTAGCGCAATGTCCATAAAGTTCTTTTGAAATTGTTGAATTAATTGTTTGATAAATTCCTAAAATATTTTTTCTTTTCTTTTTTTTTCTAAAAGTAATATATTTTGACAACGAATTAAAGTTAAAATTCTCAAAAAAAATAAAAATAAAATATAGAAAAATTATTTTTACTAATAATTCTATTCCTAAAATATTTTTTTCTTTCCTTTTTTTCCAAAAGTAATATATTTTGACAACGAATTAAAGTTAAAATTCTCAAAAAAAAAAAAAAAATAAAATAAAATATAGAAAAATTATTTTTACTAATAATTCTATATTCAATAAATAATTATTTATCAAATGTGAAAAATTATTATATGCCTGGTTGTTGTTACCTTTGTAGTATTACCTGAATTGTTACCTTTGTAGCCTTACCTGAATTGTTACCTTTATAGTATTACCTGAATTGTTACCTTTGTAGTATTACCTGAATTGTTACCTTTATAGTATTACCTGAATTGTTACCTTTGTAGTATTACCTGAATTGTTACCTGCATAGTATTACCTAAATTGTTACCTTTGTAGTATTACCTGAATTTTTACCTTTATAGTATTACCTGATTTGTTACCTTTATAGCATTACCTGAATTGTTACCTTTTTAGTATTACCTGAATTGTTACCTTTGTAGTATTACCTGAATTGTTACCTTTATAGTATTACCTGAATTGTTACCTTTATAGTATTACCTGAATTATAATGCTGAAAATCTTCTCGTGTTGTAAAACATGCAAGTATTGGTCCATATAAATAAATTTCACGTTTAATTAATTCTATTGGATCATCTGAAATGACAAAAAATTTAAATTAATTTTTTAAAAAAAATACAATTAATTCATTGATTGAAAAATTTTTTGAACCATACTGATTACATATATTTAATTCAATTTTTATTTAATTCATATTATCAATATTTTTCTTTTTTTTATTAATAAATTTAAATATAAATAATCCATGAAAGATTCTTGACGATTGCCTTCTGTTAATTACACTTAATTGATTAATAAATTAAAAATATGAAATACATAATGTAATTAATTTGCAGCAGAAAAAGTAAACATAAAACAACAAACAAAAAAAAAAATAAATAAATAAAACAAATTTAAGACTGTAAACTAAAAATTTGTTTACTAATTTAAACAATTAATTAGTTTATTAGCGATAAAAACAAAAAAC